TTGAGATTTAAAAATAAAATGCATATGTTTCAGAACTGTTTAGCCATATTTACATTGAACCGTATGGGGGAAATTTACCTTGGGGTGCAACCAAATTCGGAGGGCAGATTAGCCGAATTTACATTGAACCTTATGGGGAAATTGTCTCGTGGTGCGACCAAATTCAGAGGGCGGAACGGATTAACTGTATTTACATTGAACCTTATAGGAAACTTTACCTCAACTTGAAACCAACTCGAGTTGCAACCAGAGTCACGGAATGGATTAAGTTCGTAACTAGAGGTACCACTGTATATCTATTTGCTCGACAGAAAAATCTGTTATTATAAACATTCTCAAATAGCAATCTGAATTTAGGCTATAATAGGAAACCTATAGTTCTTCCATTGCTAGTAAAAGGTAATGCCCACCAACTCTTACCAAATTATGCCAGCAGGATCTTTGTAACTGGTACTTCAGAAAAATGTGAAGAACCACAGGTTCCCTCAACTTAGGCTATTATTCAAATCCTCACTGAAAACGTTAAGTTTTACTTTTCAGTGAACATATTTAAGATCACATAGTTATTCAAATGATAAAATGGTGTACATTCTCCATTTTTGAAAACCACTGAAGTAAAAAACAGCCAAATTTGGATTATTTGCATACCTTTAAAATATAACAGAATATAACAGAAGACATATAACTAGAAACAAATAAAAGGTACATAGAAATTACGTGGTAAATTTCACATCAAATAACATCAAAGAGCCACTTTATAGGAGAAATGGCATATACTTGGCAATATATCCAGAGCATGCCTTCCCTTAGGAAAGGTGTGTGGTAGGTGAAGCACTGGATGTGCATTTGAACGTGATCCCAGTTGGGCATCCAGCTTCTCAAAAATCAACTTTGCTTGTTCAATGCTTTTCTCAAGGGAAATGGGAGATTTAAAGCAAGCTTCCGCTTTCGGATACTCCCTGGGGAGATGATGGATGGATCAGAGATACAAGAGGGAAAAGGGGGAAAAGAGGGATAGAAGTGGCTGGGTCCATGTGGTGATTAATGCCTCTTTGTGGGACGGGGTAATACCACCTGCTTGTAGGTGGCCTTTTTCAAGTTGCCATCTTTGGACCCAACAGTGTTGGATAACTTTCATCCAGTCTCCAATCTTCCCTTTTTAGGGAAGGTTGTTAAGACAGTGGTTGGAGCTCAACTGCAGAGAACCCTGGATGAAGCAGATTATCTGGCCCTTTTTTCAGGCTGGGTTCCTACAGGACTAAGGCAGCATTGTTTCTGCTTGTGGGTGATCTCTGAAGTGCTTGGGACAGAAGTGGTACAACCAGCGTGGCCTTCTTGGAACTCTCAGTGGCTTTTGATACCACTGACTACAATTTCAAGTTGAACATTTAACCTTTCTGAGCTGAACTTTTAACCTTTCTGAGTTGAACTTTTAATCTTTTAAATTGCACTTTTGACCTTTCTAAGTTGAACTTTTGACCTTTCTGAGTTGAATTTTTTATCTTTCTGAGTTGAAATGTTAATCTTTCTACATTAAACTTTGGTTATTTGCAGGATTGCCTCTCCCTGAGGGCATCGGCCCAAAGCACCAGGTAAGAAAGTATGGACATGCTCCAGGTCCATTCTTTTAAATGTGACCATCTAGTAGGACTTTGCCTTTTCTATAGCAGTGCCTGTCCTGTGGAACACCTTTCCCCTGGGATCTGGCATGCCCCCACCCTTTTAGCCTTCCATAAAAAGCTGGCTCTTCCCCCAAGTGTTGGAACAGGGTAAGGTTGGAGCTCAAGGACTGTATTGGTGGATGTACTGGAGAGTGTTGGTTAAGGCACCAGGTTTTGGTTTACTGTTGTTTGATTATTATTATTATTGTGAGCTTCCCAGAGTTGTGCTACATTAGAGGGGTGGTCATATAAGTCTTTTAAAGAAATAAGAAGCTTTGCTCAACGTTCTGCAGAGAGATGCACATTCTGGTGAATCAGACATTTCCCATCCATAACTTAATATTTCAATAGTGCTTTCTGAAACAATACTTATGTTTTCTACTTACTGCCTCTTTAATTTCACAAGAGAAGACATGAATTTGAAACTCATCAGTGCCAGAGTAACTCTCTGTAAACGCAAAGCAGTCATATTCCAAAGTCTCATTTTGGCCACGGACACAGAACAACACTTTGTAGATTGGGAAAGAAGCAATTTCTGTATGGCTGGACTGATCTATTATTCTAAATGAAATGAAGAAAATTGAAAAACCTTTGTAATTCAGTAAGAAATAATTATTTCTTTGCTAATTTTGATATCTCTATCCAATCTGGGAAATGTCTGAACTGTCCACAAATGACATATTCCAGTTAAAATATTTAAATATTAATAAATTTCTGAATACTATATGTTTTTTTTCCAGTCACATGACAGGAAAATACCTATGTTGTTCAGTTTTATCACTTATATCCTGAATAGATTTTAGTGCAATAGATTTTACACCTACTATATGTAGGAATTCTTAGCAGTATCTGGATATTCATAATTTCATCATAATTGCCTTCTTTGACATGCATTTCAGCATTAAGATCACGTTCACAGTATACTTTTTTTTAAATTTTGTTTTCTATCTGTACCCATTTTCTTTGTTTCTCTTCTTTTTTGCCTCACCTACTTGCTAAAAATACACGTTATTAGGATACAACTAAGAATAAAATTTAATGTATATAATTGAGTCTGTGAAACCTCAAGTCATCATAACTGTATTCACTGGTGAGATACCACAGTATATAAACACAACTGAAATCTTCATTAATTTCACTGAAAATGTTTTATGTATATCTGAAGGCAAGATATTAATCTTTATCCACGATTGTTTAGAGTATGTACATTATGCCTGAGATAGATAGATAGATAGATAGATAGATAGATAGATAGATAGATAGATAGATATGCCTGATATATATATATAGATAGATCTATATAGATCTATAAGATAAAAATAAAAAATTACAAAAAAAGGAAAGGAAAAAAATTAGAAATTTAATTCCTTTCCTTCAATCTTCTACACCAGAACCAGCTTCCAACATATGTATTATTCCCCTGTTCAATCACTGCTAGTACTTGAACAGAAAGAAAACCTTCACGGGGTGAGGCCAAAAGCCCATCTAATCCAGCACTGTGTGTCACATTCAGGAAATTATAAGTATAGAGAAAAGGAGAAGTAGCCCTCCTGGTAACAACTAGTATTTAACATATATAACAGAGTCTATAATTGAGGAAGTGACATAATGTCATCAAGACCCCTGCTGTTGATAACCCAGTCCTTTGTGATTTTGTCCAATATAATTTCAAATTCACCAGATGGTACTATATTTTACAGTAAACCAGTCTGGTCTAGTGGTTAAGGCATCAGACTAAAAACCAGGAGACTGTGAGTTCTATTCCCGCCTTAGGCATAAAAGCTGGGTGACTTTGGGCTGGTCACTCTCTCTCAGCCCAACTCACTTCACAGGGTTGTTGTTGTTGGAAAAATAGGAGGAGGAAGGAGTATTAGGTATGTTTGCTACCTTGAGTTATTTATAAAATAATAAAGGTGAGATAAAAATCTAAAAAAAAAAAGTATCCATAGAAATGTGGATATTTATCTATCCACAAACATTGTCTTCATACGTTCTACATTAAATTTCACTTGATCTAGTAAAGCACAAAGGGCTCCTTACTTGGATCATAGAACTTCAAACCAACTCTGGAAACAGCCTCTGCTCAAGAAAAACAAGCTGAGCTTATGAAGTTGCTACAAGTGCCAACACCCTTTCGCTTTATGGTCTAGGCTGGAACTAAAGCTACTTGCTCTCCTAATCAGCTATCTGAGTACTAGCATCTACACAGCAAACATCCAGGCAACATATGAGGAATTTGAAAGAAAGATGGGAATTAGATATGGTCTTTGAAACACAAAAACAAAAAATTCTCCTGAGCAACTTGAAGTTCCTACAGGAAGCAGGAATCCACTCCTGTCCTATTCTTAAACTCATTTGGATACTCTGCATATTCTCATAAGAAATATCCAGCTCACCTAACAGAACCATCTGGAATATTTGGTACATAGAGAGTTACAGGAGATGGCGAATGACTTGAGTTTTTCAAAGTTGCCATGGCACACAAGGCCTCTGCTTCATTGCGAGGAGCAGAAACTTTCATACATCCAAGATATAACAGTTTGTTGAATAATACACTATCCTCTTCTAAAGGTACAGTGGGAGAATGAAATGTCTGCGATGAAAATTCTGAAAGGGAACACAGTTCAACAATTAGACAATATCCATTGCCATTGTCATTCATAATGACAGGATCATGACCACAGCAATGTTCTCGTGCAGCCTCTGAAATCTATTCCAAGATTACAGCTGATTATTGTTATATTGATATTCCTGACCTCCAAGTGCATAATGACCACCAAAGAATCTTATCATAATTTTAAGTTCCTTTTTTGCAAACTAAAACAATTTTACAATGCATTTTAAAGGTACTGACAAGTCCAATCTGTCATTGTGGCTACCAAGATCCATCAAATGCTCTATGGAAAAATGTTTAAATGGCAAAGAGTGTACTGGTTGGCTACTCCGCAGTTATTTCACTTCTGAATACTGCAATGTCAATGTCAAACTTGAGCATTTTCCAAAAACTGCCTTTGGATGTTATTTTCAGTAGCTAGCCTGAAACAAGTATTTAATAATTCTAAACTGTCCAGAGTCGCTTTCTAACGAGATGGGCCGTAACAAATTTGATACACACACACACACACACACACGTATGTATGTATGTATGTATATATAAATATTTTGAGTATTTTCTAGTGTTTAATATATTTCAGAACTTTTTCCAAGTTGTTATTACAGAGTATACCTTTATTCATGGTAGCTTACTTGGGATGGGGTGGGAGGTACTCTAGTAACAAAACTCAGCGAACAATAAGCCTGCACTAGACCACCCCAGAGCAAATACCTTTCAAGCAGCTTTACTCCTAATATTTCTTCTTCTTAAAGACATGAAAATAAATATTAAAAAAATATAAATATAAAATTCAGCTATTTATTTTGCCAAAGGCAGACATTGTAGGAATAAAAACACTCATCTTGAATGTTTTTATCTTTCCCTACATATCTCCTTCAATATTTACAAAATATTTCTGCTAATACCTGTGGTGGGAGGATCAAGTGGAAGATGCATAGAGAGTTGGTTGACAGAAACCTCTTCAAAAGATTGTTGGCAACTACCACTCAAATCCACAAAATCCGAAATACTTTCTTGCGGGCCTTTGTCAAAATCCTTTACTATCTCTTCCATGGCTTGTGTTATTTGTTCTTCTTCATCTGGAAACATCTATAAGGAAAAAGAGGAAAACGCTTATCAGTATAACTATTCCACAAGCAGTAGTATGTCTTAAACTTCAGTAAGCCCCCTCATATCTCTTTTTCACACAACAAAGCTATTTCCAAATGATCACTACCTGGAAATAGATATCTGTTTAATCTGGTTCATATTTTAGCAGCTGATGACTACGTATGTTTATTTCTCCATCAGTTTTTGATCTTAGGGCAATGGAAAACCTTATCACACTAATCTTTCTGTCATGTGTGTCATATAAACTGGTAGCATAAGAATGAACATCACTGTTCTTCTTTCCCCACCTTTAACGATTTTTATTATTCTGCTATTAATTTAGGCATATTTTTATGACACAGCGTTACTCATCTGAAATGAGAAAAATTTAAAAACCGGTAAAATCAGAAACTAATTTAAAAAATCAAGGAAATGTTTATCGTTAGATGAAGTTTCTCAGCTTTTGCACAATGATTTTTAGTGGACTAATTTAAAAAGAAACATATTTTTCATGAAACTGGAAACACTTTCAAAGAACTATTTTTTAATAAAAATTGAATGTCCATTTCAAAATTCTGACCCTTTTTGCCACAAGAATCAAAGCTATCAGCAAAATTACTTCCAATCAGTTACTAAACTAAATATATTTATCTTTTTACTACTAAAACCTTTCAGAACTTAGTCATCTATCGGTTATAATTTTACAATGTCCAAAACCAAATGAATATTTGGGGAGGAGTGGGAAAACCATCACATCATACTTTATGAAATAGAGAGATTTAATAATTTCAAATAATATCTACAATTTGCCTCTCATATGAGATACTGACAATGGTGTGTTATTCTATAGATGGCTGCCTTCTACAGAAGGCATGTAAAGTCTGGGAACAAAATGAGAAAGTTTGCATATTATTTCATGATCTCAAGATTTAACTTTGCAGATATGACACTGTATAACTCTCACTGTATTTACAATTTTAAATACATAGTTGCTCTTCCAAGCAGCAGTTCTAGATTAAAATGAGCACCAAATAGCTATCTGATTTATTAACAGCGACGGATTAAAAATTCAACTAGTTTACTATATTATATATTACAAAATAGTTTAGTAAATCATTCTGAGCTACAAAAAAATTGTTGAAATGTTTTAAACAAATACACATTACAGCACGTTTACAGTATAGTAAACTCACTGATTATGTCACATGATCTTCAGCAAAACAATTGGTTAAAGAGCATCAACTGTATAAATGCATTTAGGAGTGAATATGAAATGAAGTGCTCATCATAATGCAATGAAAATATAGAAATGCTACACATTTGGATTAAAAAACAGCAGATGCTATATGCTTCTTTTAATTGACCTAAGTACAATGCAAGAATATGAAGCTGTGGAACTAAGTCTTTCTTAACATCCAAAGAGGTCAAATAAGGCTATATACTTGCTCTCATGCTGTTCAACCTATGTGCTAATTCAGCGATTGAAAGTATAACCCCTGATCTTCATCCACAAAATCTGGCAAACACCCAGCAATGTTATTTCTATAGGCAGTTATACTTTCAACCACTTTAATAGACTTGCAAAGGTAACTAAAAAAATTGTCATCCACTGAGTGAAAGAAGGCCCACTATTTAATTAACATAAAAACAAAGATCATGTGTTTTGCTACAAGGCCAAGAGTTATAGATGGCTATAAAATGGTAATCAAACTGAACAAGTCAGGATCTTCCATCACTTAAAAGTAATTTTTATGTCCTTTGGTTCTTGGAGAGATCAGTTAGAACATATTACCAAGAAAACACAGAGGCCTGGCCCGGCATTATTACAAAAGCAGGAGAATACTATATCCTTGCAGCTTTAAAGATATTTTATGGTACCCAGATACCAAGACAGATATAAATTTCAAATGTTTAGAAATGGTACAGTCTACATATTGGTTGCCACCATTGAAGCCTGTGTTTCATAACAGAGATTGGTGGAAGTGAATCATGTTCCAATCAAGAGAAATCACTGCAGACTTTAAAAAAAAAAAAGGAATGTTGATGCCAATGAGGCCGGAAAAAGTTACATGAGTTTTGGGCCTCCATCAATCCACAGTAAAGCAGACAGTGTAGAAGTGGAAAAAGCACAACACTGTTGGTACTCTTCCCAGGAGTGGTCATTCAACAGAAATTACCCCAAGAGCAAGGCATACAATACTCTAGGAGGTTGTAAAGGATCTGCAGATGCCTGATGTTAGCATTCATGAGTACACTGTAAGGAAAACACTGAACAAGAGTGCTGTGCATGGCAGGATACCTAGGAGGAAACTCCTGCTTTCCAGGAAACATATTGCTAACCTTTCTCAAGTCTGCCACCTGTATGATCTAGCCTGCTACTGTTCTTTAGACAGATGAGACAAAAAGGAGCTTTCCAGTATTAATTACTGCATTTGATGAAAATGAAACACTGCATCCCAGCAAAAGCACGGCAATGGGAATATCACTGCCTCAGGACCTGGTGAACTCACAATCATTGAAGGAACAATGGAGTCTGGATTCTATCAGCAAATTCTACAGGAAAATGTCAAGGCATTTGTCTGTGAGCTGAAGTTTAAATGAATGTGGGTAGTGTAACATGAGAACCATTCCAAAGATACAAGTAAATCTATAACCGAATGGCTGAAGCAAAAGAAATTTCATGTTTTGGAATGTTCTGACCATAACCCAACTAAAATGTTGTGGCAGGACTAAAGCAAGTAATTCATACAAGACAGCTCAAAAATATCAATGAGCTGAAGCAGTTCTGTAAAGAAGAATGAGCCAACATTCCTCCAAACCAATGTGCAGGATTGATTAACATGTTCAGGAAATATTTAATTGAATTCATTTTTGCTACAGGAGGTACCACCAGTTACAAATCTAAAGCCTCACAGAATTCCAATAGATGGTGAATGCTGGCTCAATATGTTCAATAAAGACATGACATGGTATACTGTTTTGGGTGTGGTTTGTACAATCAGAATCTCTTGATCTACTAATAGGACTTAAAGTCAGATTATGGATAGTTCTAAAGGTGTTAATAAATTCTTTCTTATCACTGTTATTAACAATCTTGTAGTTCAAAATCACAGAAGAACATTTATGCAAGTATACTTAAATATGGTTCGACTGGCCTTCTGGGATTAAAGATCCAGGGGACACCCTATTCAGACTGAAGTTGTTCATGCAAAGAAGTAAGGTTGAAACTGTCAATTATATGTTACTGCATTAATAATGATGTACACTGTAAAAGTAGTTGGAATCAACTTAGATCCATCATTACTGCTTAAGGATGCATATGTTCTGCTTGCCTGTATCTCCAGTCCTTGGAACATATTAAGAAATCAAGCACGATGGGCTTTTCATGCCTGGGAGATGGACAAAATAATTATTATACACTACTGGAACTTTTTAACTGATTTGTAGCAATGGATTGTTGACTGTGTGAGCTGTCAACATTGGAACTCTTGTTTCCCTCCCCACACCCTTCCAACAAAGTGTAAAGGAAGACTTTCCAGCAACGTTTGGCATTATTTTATTCATGGGATCAAGTTCTAGGCATTCATTCCACTTAAAAAAAAGTTGATTTTATATAAACAAAGATAACAAAATGATGTAATTTTTCTTTTTTTTTCTTAATTAGTTTGAGATAATAAAATATATTAAATGATGTTTTTCTGTATTAAATAATTTTTTACTTTACTTTTTATTTTTCAGGTGAGGGCACTGCCATAATTTTAATACTGTAGTGAAAAGTATTTTCTTCTAGGGCAACCTCTTCATCATGTTCGTTCGCTTATGTGGAACTATACCTTTCAAAAGGCTATGCCACTTTTTAATAAGTTTTTGAGGACTACAGGACCATAATTTCTGTTTAATAGGCAAGCCAAGAACCAAAGACATTGCAGTGAAGCACGTCATATAATCACATCCTAGCTGACTTCTTTCTTATCTCCTTTCTACATTATCTCTTAATTCATTCCCCATTATTCTCCTCAGAGTAGTCAGTGTCCAAAGAGAGACCTCACTTTTTAATTTATAATTCCAAATTCTATTTTTAGGCCAAATGGTTTTAGCTCCAAAGTGCCTAATAATGACTTAGCAGACTGTTCAATCTCTATCACCTTGAGCACAAGAATTCAGCCAGTTAGAATCAGAAAACTGCTGAACTGGAAAAAGGCTGCAACGTTCGTATTTCCCCATGAGCTATGAATATAAATTATTTCTAATTACTGCACTTAAAGAGAAATGTGTTTAACTGGCAGGGCAGAGAATACAAATTGCTATCATCCAAAAAGATACCAGAGAAGGAATAAGGTTAAAATATATTTGTTATTAAATTTAAGGATTTTTCTTTTTTATATATGTTAACAGTAGTAATGTTCTTAAAGGGTAGAAAGATATGACACTATGGAGTTGGTTGAGATGGCAAAATTGATGGCTTTGTATGAGAAAAAATACTGTGTAATTTTAATGCAAGTTGGAAGCCTTTTTTTGGACTTTTTGTGGGAAACAGGAAAAAAATGAAATCATGTTATAGGGATTTGATAATTAGAAATAACATGGGTTAATAGAAATAATGGGAGTTAAGTTGTAAACTTAGAGCAAGAGTTTGATGTATATTGTTACTTATATCTGTTCCAAGGAAGATCGGAAGCCAAAGTTAGGTTGCTGCATAGGATACTGAAATCTAGAAAGCTGTCTCTGAAACACTGTCTGCTCCACATGCATGGGCAATTGGACAGTCTGAATATATGGATGGGAGATGTAAAGCGTAAGGCCTTCCATTTGTTAGGCATTGACACACCTTTGGGGACAAGCCAAGCTTCTACAAAAGAGGATGCTTAATATTAAAAAAGAGGGCAGAGTAGCAACTTCCAGTGAGTGCCATGGCAAGCTAGTTGTCCCTGCTGAAGCAGGACAGCATTTATGCGGAGATCAGCAGCTGGATGCTGGATCCTGGCCAGTGAAATCTGTCC